ACAAGTGATTATACTACTATGCAATAATAGGAAATGTAAACTATTTATATTTAATATAAAATTGAGGAACATAAAGAAAATCATATTAAGGGGGAAAGCCTGATGCAGTATTTACTCACTATCTGATTCTACTTTTAAACATATCAGAGAAGACATTTTCTTTCTATTAGAAAGAAGAATAATGTTTGTCTATGGGTATTAGAATTGACTAGAAGCTACCTAGAGATTAGAATTGACTAGAAGCTACCTAGAGTTCTGTTTATGTAGGCATATATACTTTCTAAAAATGTTAAATTCTACACTTATAATGCATGTATTTTAATGTGCTTAAATTTTACCTACAACACAACAAAATGATGGTTATCAGAAATTGAAGGCATATTTAATCTCTTTAATCTCTAGTTCAATAAGGTCTTTTTTTAAAAAATTTGTTTTAGTTGTAGTTGGACACAATACCTTTTATTTTATTTTTATGTGGCGCTGAGGATTGAACCCAGCACCCCATATGTGCTAGGCAAGTGCTCTACCACTGATTCACAACCCCAGCCCTGTTCTTTTTTTTTAATCTCCCATATTCCTTATTTTACAATTTGTTTCCATGACTCCATAGAAAAAGAGTATTCGACAAGTGTCAGATAATATGTATTTTCATCCTAGTCTTATCTCTTACTAGGTTCGTAATTTGGGGAAATCTTGAAGGATTATAGATACACTGAATATTATTAAACTGGAGGAAAAGTGTAAGGTGCATAAGCATGGCTAATGTGAATTAGAAAATTATTATTGAAAGTGTTGCAATTTGTACACGTGGAAAAATGAGAATTCATACTCTATTTGAATCAAATGTATGATATGTCAAGATCATTGTATTGTCTTGAACAACTAATAAAAAATAAATAAAGATTAACTGACCAATGAAAAAGTGAAAAAAAAGGAAAGTGTTGTGGGCCTTGTGTAAATAGGATACTCTCTGATGTGCAAATTAAAACCTCCAACTTACTTTGACTTCTATCTACACTTAAGCAATTCCTCAGAGTCTTAGGAAAGTTTTCCTTTCTCTTGGATGACACCTAAGGCTAATTGACTGGGACATTTGGATTTAGATATCCATAAGAGATGCAATCTAACTTAATATGCCCTATGATTTTTTGTATACATCCTTTTCTCATAATAAAAATATTCAATGTGTAAGAAAGGATTGGTTGAAGCTATTATAGGAAAAAATATCATTGACATTTTGAATATTTTTTCATAAGGTAAAATGACATTGCTCTTTATAAACTGTACCTTCATTAGAGTGGAATAGTTTACAATAGCCTTGAATAAATATCAGTAGTGGACAAATTCTTTGGAAAGTTCAGTCAGATAACAAAGAGGTTTATCATGTCTACAGTCATTCATTTTTGAAGAAGAAGGAAACTTTTTCTGCTTTAATGTCTCTTTCATATATTCTTTGGAGAATCTTTTTTATTCACTCACATTGAGGATAACCTCTGGCTATTGATAAATTTTTGAGCATCTTCTGACTAAGGAGGCCCTTGTGACCTGACACAATGTAGTATTCAGGCAGACTTGTAATTTTCTACATAAAAGAAATTTCTTTCTTTATTGTCAATTTCCTTTTTAAACCTACTACAAAACTATGTTAGAACCATTCCATTCCATCATAATCAGATTCACCAATTCAGCACTTACATAATCCTTAGAAATCTTAATACTTTGTCTATATATTATTATGGTTGTCCACATTAGTTTTGTTTGATTCATGAAATTATGTTATTAAAGAACTTGAAGAGACTCATATGAGAAAACAACATGTAACACTACATTTACAAAACCACTTTTTATGTCAATATACTCAGGGGTAAAATATTTAAGTAGAATGAGAAATACACTTTATATCACTCAATGTTAGACCACTTCTTTATTGATATAAGCCAAATAGTATCCAATTACATTTTTAAGGTATTTTGAAACTTTCCACTTTTTGTTCCAGAAATTTAATAAAGTAAAAATCACCACTTTTGATTTATATTCTCATATCTCTTCATTTCTTCTATAATTTCCTTTTCCTGTCATTTAAACTGTCACCAGCACTCAAACAGAGCCTTGTTTTCTTTATCAGAAGTTCTTTTTTTTTAAAGAGAGAGTGAGAGAGGAGATAGATAGATAGATAGATAGAGAGAGAGAGAGAGAGAGAGAGAGAGAGAGAGAGAGAGAATTTTTTAATATTTATTTTTTAGTTTTCGGCAGACACAACATCTTTTGTTGGTATGTGGTGCTGAGGATTTAACCCAGGCCGCACGCATGCCAGGCGAGCGCGCTACCGTTTGAGCCACATCCCCAGCCCCTATCAGAAGTTCTTTGATTTTCAAGTTTAATAGTCTCATGTGTAGTTTCAAAGTCATTATCTAAAATGCATATACATACATAGCACAAGAATGTGCTTTTATAATGACATTGAAAACTTCACTTTAATGTAAAAGAAAGAACACAATATATTTTGAAAGCTTTTTATTAACATTACTTAAAATAATTTTGCTTTCATCAATTTTCAATTTTTTCATTTTTTATGAGATGCTTTTCCATCAAAATGAGAACTTAGAAGTCAGAATTATACCCACCACCTGATTAAATGGTTTGCTCCATATTTGTCCTTTAGCATTAGGGTGCATAATTAACTTACACTTATTTACAGCACACATAACACAGATAAGTTATGCTTATCTGAGTAATATACCAAGCATTGATATGTAAAATAAACAACATAAAAATTGTAGCATTTGTAGTGTTCAAGACAATATAAAATGACTTATGATAATAGCATTTGACATTTATTGATTTCACTCAATGTATGTTACCTCATGTAAGTAAAACAAGAAAAAGTAGTCAATATGCCCTAATGTCATGCAGCTAATTGGAGATATATTTCTTTGTTGCTGTTGTTGTTTGTTTGTTTGTTTTGTTTTGGGATACATTTTTATTTATTTATGTATTTTTATTTATATATAATAGCAGAATGGATTACAATTCTTATTACATATGTAGAGCTTAATTTTTCATATCTTCGGTTGTATACATAGTATATTCACACCAATTTGTGTCTTCATACATGTACTTTGGATAAAAATGATCATCACATTCAACCATCATTAATTACCCCATGCCCCCTTCCTTCTCCTCCCACCCCTCTGCCCTATCTAGAGTTTGTCTATTTCTCCCATGCTCACTTTCCCTATCCCAGTATGAATCAGCTTCCTTATATCAGAGAAAACATTCAGCATTTGTATTTTGGGATTGACTAACTTCACTTAGCATTATCTTCTCTAACTCCATCCATTTACCTGCAAATGCCATGATATTATTCTCTTTTATTGTTGAGTAATATTCCATTGTGTATGTATGACACATATTTTTATCCATTCATCTATTGAAGGGCATCTAGGTTGGTTCCACAATTTAGCTATTGTGAATTGTGGTGCTATAAACATTGATGTGGCTGTGTCCCTGTAGTATGCTGTTTTTAAGTCCTTTGGGTATAGACCGAGGAGAGGGACAGCTGAATCAAATGGTGGTTCCATTCCCAGTTTTCCAAGAAATCTCCATACTACTTTCCATATTGTCTGCACCAATTTGCAGTCCCACCAGCAGTGTATGAATGTACCTTTTTCCCCACATCCTTGCCAGCACTTATTGTTGTTTGTCTTCATAATAGCTGCCATTCTGACTGGAGTGAGATGAAATCTTAGAGTGGTTTTGATTTGCATTTCTCTAATTTCTAGTGATGATGAACTTTTTTTTCATGTATTTGTTGATTGATTGTACATCATTTTCTGATAAGTGTCTTTTCAGTTCCTTGGCCCATTTATTGACTGGGTTACTTTGTGTGTGTGTGTGTGTGCGTGTGTGTGTGTGTGTGTGTGTGCGTGTGTTTAGCTTTTTGAGTTCTTTATATACCCTAGATATTAGTCCTCTATCTGATGTGTGAGGTAAAGATTTGCTCCCAAGATGTAGGCTCTCTATTCACCTCACAGATTGTTTCTTTTGCTAAGAAGAAAGTTTTTAGTTTGAGTCCATCCCATTTATTGATTCTTGATTTCAACTCTTGCTTCAAAGGAAATTGGGGTCTAATCCCACATGATGGAGAGTAGGGACTACTTTTTCTTCTATTAGATGCAGGGCCTCTGCTTGTATTCCTAAGTCCTTAACAAATAATTTTTATATGACAAAAAACATTGGGAAAATTTTCTTTTTATAAAGTTTTGAATATTTAACCAAAATTATATGTGGCAAAATTATAGACTTTTTAATTTTACTGTGTTCTGATACAGAATATAAATTCAGCTAATTCAGAATAGTTGCTTGCCTTTGAAAGGAGTGTAAAAATTGTATACAAAGACAGAAGCACTATGTAATGCATATGGAAAAAACAAAAGCCCTACACAAATTCCATGGCCTTGTTCCTTGGGAAATTGGAAATTTTGTGAAGAATAACCCACAGAAATGTAGTAACTTGTTTACTTCCAAAAAATCCAACAAAAGTCTCACAGTTGAAATTCAAAGAAAATTATGGGCTGGTGGAATCTGTGCCTTTTGAATTTCCTCCCACAAGTGCACACTGGACATCAGAGATGTTATTTATATTTGATCTCACCATGAGACTCATGAGTGAAAGTGCCAAACTCAAGACAGAAGTGGTGAAACCTGTGGAAGACCCAAATATCAAACCTCTAAAAGACACAAGATATTAAATCTCCTAAGACACAATATGCATATAGAATTTTTCTTATAAGTAGATGAGATAAATCACATAATTTGGGTTCATATTTCTTGACATTGTCTCTGACTCCTATAAAATAATTATTGTATTCAGTTGGAAAATGCCTTTAGTTTATTCTTTCTTGATTTTTAATCTGGTGGAGATGTTTTATGTTTGTTCCCAAATTCTCCTTTTTAATAAGGATTTATTTGAAAGGTTCTTCTTTTTCTTATTTTTTTTTCTTTTTTTGGAATGCTTCACAAGCATGTCATTCTCATGCAGGGCCTATGCTAATCTTCTCTCTATTTTCCCAATTTTTAGTATATGTGCTGCCAAGGCAAGCATATTTGTAAGATTCTGTTGTGTGCCTGTGACAGATGTGTTAAGGGCTGGAGCTATTTTGCACTATGGTTAGTAATTTTCAGTTTAGTGTATTTTGTGCCAAAATCATGTGTTTTCACATAAGTTTTTCAGTCTTCATAAAAACATTCATTTTCCTTTCTTTAATTTGGACCACAGGATAAAAAGAATCAGTTTTGAACAGAGACAGTTTTTGCCTTCACCATGTGTTAATTATAACAAAAAACTTACATTTTGAATCATTTATTTTTTTCTGGTGGGAAAAAAGTCTCCTTAAGTATCAGAAAATTTCAAAGGAAATCCTTTATATACTAGAATTTATAATTTATTTGAAAACCATTATTTATATATAATTTGAGACCTCTAAGTACATATCATATTCTAGTATTTCTGTGCTTTTTTCAGTTTCAATAACCCTGAAATGATTTTACAAATTCCTTTTCTACTGAGCTTTTTACTTAGAGAACAGAACTTTTTAATAGCATTTCATGCTTTTACGTAAGGGAAGATAGTAAGAATGAAAGTTATTTTTTATCAGAGCATTATAGTAATACATAGTAGTTTTGGGGTTCATTTTCACAAAATGATATTTGCATGAAATTTGATTTACTCCATATCAGTCCCTGGTGTCGCTCTTTTCCCTCACCTATCTCTCCCCCTATTCTTCTTCTTCTACTCTATACTCAATTATTTTTTTTTATTTTTGTCTTGCTATTTATACATATGCATAAATGTAGAATTAACTGCATATATTTTCTGTTAAATTTATTTCACATTGTTTTTTCTTTTCCCATCTGTCCTCCCTCAATCTCAATCTCCCTCTTCTACTACACTGATCTTCTCTTTAACCTTTTTATACCCCATTTTTTCATTATTTTCTTTAGCTTCCATATATGAGAGATTTTTTGAGTCTGGTTTACTTTACTTAGTTAGATAGTCTCCAGTTCTATCCACTTACTGGAAAACGTGATAATTTCATTCTTCTTTATGAATGAGTAAAACTCCATTGTGTATATACAGCAAATTTTATTAATCTAGGCATCTATTTATGGGTCCATAATCTAGGAATCTATGTATGGGTCCACAATTTGGCTATTGTGAATTATGCCTCTATAAATATTGAAGTGGCTTTATTGCTATAATATTGAAACTTTTGTACTTTTGGGTAAATACAAAGGAATGGGATAGCTGGATCATATTCATTCCTAGTTTTTTGAGGAATGTCTATACTGCTTTACAGTGTATTAAATTATCCATCTGACTGAAAATTTATGAATATACCTTTCCCCCCACATTCTTCCTAATATTTATGATTTATATTTTTGAAAATTGCCATTTCTACTGGAGTGAAATAAAATTTTAGCATGATTTTGATTTTAAATTCCATGATTGCCTGAGATATTGGACACTTTTTCCAAATATTTGCTGCTCATCTTCATTTCTTCTTTTGAGAAGTGTCTATTTACAGTTCTTTTGCCCATTTTTGGTTTGGGTTGTCTGTATTTGGGGTGTTAAGTTTTCTGAGTTCTTTTTATATTATGGTTTTTAATCCCCTCTCAGGAGCAGCTGGCTGAGTTTTTCTCCCATTCTCTAGGCTTTATTTTTGCTCTTAATAATTTTCTTTGCTGTGCAAAAGATTTTGAATTTTCAGCTATCCCACTTATTGACTCTTTGTTTTATTTTTTGCACAGTTACAAACTTTCTTGTTCTAATTCCTAAGTCCTTGATCCAATTTAACTCGACTTTTATGCAGGGTGAGTGAATTGGATATAGTTCCATTCTTTTACATATGATTTCCAGTTTTTCCAGCACCATTTATTAAACAAGGTATCTTTTCTCAAACATATATTTTGGCACCTTTGTCATGTGTCAGATAAATATAAATTGTGAGTTTTTCGTTGTGTCTTCTATTTTTTTCCATTGGTGTTTATGCATATTTTCATGTCAATACAATGCTGTTATAGTTACTATAACCCTATAGCAAAGTATTGTGATGCCTCCCTAATTGTTCTTCTCTTCTCACTCAGGATTGCTTTGGCTATACTGTTTGTATTATACTTCCAAATAAATTTCAGGATTCTTTTCTAGTTCTCTGAAAAATATCATTGATACTTCAATGGAATTTCATTGAATATTACTTTTGGTAGTATTGCCATTTTGAATACATTAATTCTACGAATTCAAGAACATGGGAGGTTTTTGCATCTTCTATGTTGTTCTTCAAATTCTTTCTTTGGCATTCTATAATTCTTGTGGTAGAGATCTCTCACTCCCTCTTTTAGGCTAATCCCTATGTGTTTCATTTTTCTTCTTGAGAATATTTTGAATGGGATAGTTTTCCTGATTTTCTTCTCAGCAGATTCACTGTTGGGGGATAAGAAAGCTTTTTAATGTATTATTGGGTGCACTGATGTTTGGGAAATATGTTTTATTACTGTTAGAACTTCTTGCTGGATTTTTCTCTTAACCAGAATGTAGTGCCCTTCTTAGTCTCTTCTAATAAATTCTTATTATTTTTTTTTTGCTTTTTACAACCAATGTTAATTTTTTAATTTTTAATTTTTATTTGTGTTTTTAATTATACATGACAGTAGGATGTATTTTGACATATATACATGGATTATAACTTCTCATTTTTTGGTTGTACATAATTTGGAGTTACACTGGTTGTGTATTCATATATGGATATATGAATGTTATATATGATCCATTGTACTATCTTTTCTATTCCTATCCTCTCCCTTCCCTTAATTCCCCTTTGTCTAATCAAAAGTATTTCTATTATTCCCTCCCTATACCCTTATTTTGTGTTAGCATCCACATATGAGAGAGAACATCTAATCTTTTGTTTTATGGGGATTGGCTTATTTCACTTAGCATGATAGCCTACAGTTGTCATTTACTGGAAAATGACACAGTTTTATTATTCTTTAAGCATAAGTAATATTCCATTTTGTATATATACCCCATTTTCTCTAGTTCTATAACTGGTCACATGATCATAGCAGGTATAGTACTACTATATTTTACACCCTATTATCTGTTCCATTGACCTTCAGGAAGTAACTTATGTGGCATGTGATTTATTGCCTAGTGGGATAACCCAAAACCTCATACCTGAAAACTTTAGGTCATTAGTAATCCTGCATAAATTGGGTTCTTGCAGTTTTCCATTGACTTTTTTATTTTACTGGATTTTTAATTTTTTTCTTTTAGTTATACATAACAATAGAATGTATTTTGACATATCCTACATACATGGAATATATTTCCTCATTCTTTTAGTTGTACATGAAGTAAAGTTACGCTGGTCATGTATTCATATATGAACATAGGCATGTTATGTCCAAGTCATTCTACTGCCTTTCCTGTTCACACCCCCATCACTTCCCCCAATTCCTCACTGTTCAATCTGATAAACTTATACTCCCCCACCTATTATGGGTCAGCACTGCATATCAGAGAGAACATTCAGCCTTTGTTTTCTAGGGATTGGTTTATTTCACTTAGCATGATAGCCTCCAGTCACATCCATTTACTAGCAAATGCAACTACTTCCTTCTTTTTGGCTGAGTAATATTCCAATTTGTACATGTACCACATTTTTTTATACATTCATCTGTTGAAGGGCTCCTAGTTTGGTTCAATATCTTATCTATTGTGAATTGAGCTGCTATAAATATTGATGAGGCTGCATCACTATAGATGCTGATTTTATGTCCTTTGAATATATAATGAGGTGTGGGGTGATGGGGGTTTTGGTCCCCCCCCATTCCCTCCTGACCTGAAGGAGAGATTGGGGGAGCATACCCCAACCAGGATGGCCAAGAAAGGTAAATGTCGACTGGCCGCTCACACCCAGCCCTCCCTCCCTGGAGGACAATCAGGGAGAACAGTCAAAGCAGGATCTTGTTTACTGAGAAAAAACACATAGCTAATATAATGTACAGGAGCCAATCGGAGTAAAGGTCAGCAGGGTGGGGAGAGTTCACGTGTACACCCATCCTACAGGCAGTAATGGGAGACAGGAGCTGTCCGTGAGGGCAGACCGTGAGGGCAGAAGGGTTCTGAGCCTATCCAAGAGGTGGTCCAATTCTTCATCACAACCCACGGCAATGCCTTCTGGCTAATCGCCAGGTGCTTTCTTAGCCATATGTGGCCCCAGGACTGGGAAGTGATAGCAGCCAGCAAGTTAATTTTCCTCTTTTCTGATGCAACATGTCCCACGTTACATTATGCCCTACAGTGGGGCAACTGGGTCAGATAATGGTTTCATTCCAAGATTTTTTTCTGAGGAATCTTCATAATGCTTTCTAGAATAGTTGCACCAATTTTCAGTCCCACCAGCAATGTATAAGTGTACCTTTTTTTCCACAACCTCACCAACATTTATTCTTACTTGTATTCTTCATAATTGCCAATAGGACTGGAGGGAGTTGATACCTCAGTGTAGTTTTAATTTGCATTACTCTAATTGCTAGAAATGTTGAACATTTTCTCATATATTTATTAAACATTCATATTTCAAAGGTTTATTTATTCATATGTTTCACAAATGTAACACTTCTATTAGGGCATCTCATCTGTTCTGTATCTCCTTGTAGCAACTGGGAGCAGACACTACTCTCAATGTTGCTTGTAGCAATGGCAAAGGAAAGAGACAGTATGGGTAATTGTCCACTGTATCTTTGAGATTCTAAATAACAAATGTCTGTTTTACTTATATTTCATTGGCTAAAACAAGTTACAGTCTCAGTCCCAATGTAACGTGGAAATTCCATTCTATGTTCAGAACTTCAAGAAATTCCACATTTCTTGGCAAGAAAACAAGAAATAGGATTAATGACTAACTGTGCTGTTGATATTATGATACACAGTATGTCCCTGAACTTTTTCTAAAATTTTAAGTTTTATATCTCCCATTAATAATCAATAATTGGGTGTTTATCATTGAGGGTTTTTTCTCTTTTTTTCTTTTAAGTTAT